TCTGAAAAAGAGGCAGCGCACAACACCCCGGAAGCCCCTTCTAGTTAAACTGCCAAAGGTTTCTTCCATATGGAAATTCTGTAGTTGTGTGACCTCAGGCTGGTTACACAACCTCTCTGAGCTTTGCTGTCATCTTCTGTCCTATGGTAAGAATGATACTGAGGTCCTAGGGAGCTGTAAACTATACACAGCGAGACAACACAGCTGAGCAGCCCAGCCAGAGCCGCCTGGGGAAGCCGTCAGAGGTCAGCAGTTCCCATTCCCCTCCCTCTTGACTCCTAATAGACTGGGACAAAACTTGGCTCTCCCTTCTTGCTGTCCCAAAGACGCACAATGATAATGATGCTGATGGTTATTTAGTACGAAACTTCCCAACAGGAACACTCGTCAGGAGAGGACACAGTTGGATTCTGTCCAGCGAAGATGTCAGGATGGATGGAAATGTCAGCATGATCCAAAGAGGACACAAACACCCCTGCTATTTTCTTGTCACCAGGAAAGGCCAGCTCTAGGTTTGACGAATGTTTAGTGAAAGAAAGTTTGCAAAAGTGGAAAAGAAACTGACATAATGATAGCCAAACAGGCTTTCTCTGAATTAGAAGAGCTCAGTGGACCCTTGCATGTCTGATTAGAGAAAAACAAAACAAACAAGCAAAAGCTCCTCCAATGCACAGTGGTGCCGCTCCATTGAACTAGACCAGAAGAACTTGGGCCTGCCTCTTGGGAACAGGGGCCAACATGACATGCTGGGCAAGGACCCATCATCTGACATAAAGATGCCCTGAGGGCATTGGAAAGCACGGTATGTCAGGAGAAGATGGCCCTGAGGGCAGGTGCATTCGGGTGCTAGTGAGTGCCACAGCATGTTGGGTCTCTAGTTTTGTATCAGTCAGCTACTCTCACAATCACACTGTGTAACAAAACACCCCCAAACTCAGTTGCAAACAATGATATTTATTTCTCATTCTCATGTCCATGGGTCTACTGGGATTCATCCCATCTGAGCTAGCCCTGGCTTTTCTTGGCTGCAAGCTGAGAGCTGGGTCCACGTCTGCTGAACCAAGGCTCTCCCATCTTCCTTGGGCCAGTGACAATCACAGGCCTATTTCTTTCATGATGGAAGGCAGGAGAACAAGCAGGCAAGACCAGCTGTGCTAGCACATGGCACCCCTTTGCCCACATCACACCTGCTAACATCCCATTGGCCAAAGCAAGTCAGACAACCAAAGCCAACATCAACAGGACAAGGAAACAGATTCTACCTCTAGGTGCACAAACTACGGAGTCACAGACAGAGGCCACAGATCCAGGGAAGGAAGGTGGAGAATGAGAACAATGACCCTCAATAACACAACCTCCCACAGGTTTCCAAATCCCCAACCCGGGCATATTTCCAAGGAAACGGAATCATGGGTTCAGGGTTTTAAAGCAAGCAATTTCTGCTCACCCAGCTTAGTTTCCACACCCTTAACACAGGGGCAGTGATGTCGCATCAAATCATATCTTATAAGTTTGTGATGACGTTTAAACAACTGAATGCCAGGAAAGTGCTTAGGGCAGGGCTGGGTAGGAGGGACAGAAGCCAATAATAATGAGTAGCATCACTGTTAACCCACAAAGTTCTGGGAAATTCCTTGAAAGTCTAATTAGAGAATCATGTCCCCAACAATGAACATTTCTTTTGTTTTTGTTTGTTTGGTTGTTTGAATCTAAGAAAATACTAATTGTCCCAGGATAGAATATTTATCTGATGAGCATATAGAAGTTAAGGGCTCCTTGGAATCACAGTGCTGGGTTTGGATCTCATCCCTCCTCCTACCTGCCTCTCTGAGCCTCGGTTCCTCATCTGTAGAATGGGTACAATTCATGTGTCTGTGGCAGTCAGGGTTAAATGGGCTAATGTGTGTGTGGCATGTGTCTGTGGCAGTCAGGGTTAAGTGGGCTAATGATTCTAAAGTGCCCCGCACAGGCCTGGCAGGTGCTGAGCAACCTTGGGCCGTAGCAAGAGCACTGAATGGGGAATCAAGAGCTGGGACCTCCGGTCCTATTCCCCAGGGATCCGGGAGAAGTCCCTTGGCTTCCCTGAGCTTCATCCACCCCGCGTGCTAGTGAGGTGGCTGGACCAGTCAGGCCAAGGATGTCCCTGCGGCTGTCTAACTTCCCCTTACTCACTGCTCAGCAAAGGGCAGGCGCTGGGCCTGGTCAGGCTCCCACAAAGCCCAGGCGTGGCCGTGCTCAGCTCAGGGCGGGTGTGGGGGATGCGTTTCTGCCCTCAAGGGACTGAGCTCCAGTTTCTTTCTTCACTGAGCCCTTTACTCTCTGCCTGCGGGTGGTTATTTCAGA